TACATTACCGGCATGCATGAAATTTCATCTGGAAAGAGAAAGCGCACGATTGGATGGGTATACTCTGATGCCGCCAAATGATATATTATAGTTTACAGCTAGTTAATTAATTAATTACTATCATAATTTATAGTACTAATAACTAGTGCGTTTGCATCTGTGTATATGTACATTTGAGTATATTGATGTCAAGTTAATGAGTAACTTTAATTTCAYATAATACAAATATTACAAATATATTAAGCAACATATGCAAATTTTAAAATCAAATTTAAACTAATATAAGCCTAAAATATTTTTTTTATATGCGAGTACGTATGTGCAATTTGTTGTTATGGGTAGACGTTAATGGGAAGCAACTTGTTGCGATAACGAAAAGGGCTCGTAGTTAGAAAATAAAGAGAAGAAGAAATGTACCTTCCTCTTATACCTCTTGCTGTGTAGTAGATAAAATTTGTAACTTGTTTTATTGAACAAGTTGTATCCGTAACAATAAAATTAAGTTAATAAATATTCAATTTCACTTTTCATATTACAAAACCGTTGCGCTCATTATCTTCATATTCTCAGGCTAGGGGTGAAAGAGGTACGGCAAATAAATACAAACTATTATTAAAATTGGGTATTTGAAATTACTTTTATAATTTTCTAGGTTATCATCGACTTGGCATTACTGGTGACGCGGGTGGTATACCTATCAGGTTTCCTGGTACATTACTGTGGCTTACATTTGTACCAGACGAACTGACCGCTATACCCATACTATTCTCAGTATCTTTTTTGGATGTAGTGGATGAATGTATTAAAGGATCGCTTATCATATGTTGTACTGATAAATTTAAAGTAGATGGTTGCGTCCCTTTTCCAATTCCAATTGTAGTCAATTGTGTTTGAGGATTTTGCGAAGACGGTGGGACACTTGATGAAGCAATAACATTTACACCCGCTGGCTGCATTCGAAGATGTGTAGCAGAAGGACCTAAATGACCTACCGACGGTGGCGGTATGGGGCTCGGCTCCTTACCTCGCAGATGAGCTGCCGATTGGGCTGCGTACATACTTAGGGCTTTCTGACGCTCTTCTGCTTCATGGCGAAAAGCTGCTTCCATTATGGGATTGTATCGCAGAATAGGTGCATAGGGATCCCGATATGGATCAATACCCCACGGGGTCGGTCCAGGTGGACCAAAATGTGTAAGTGGTCCACTGATACCCATTGAAGGTGGTATCATATTACGGGAAATATGTGATGTTGGTGGTGGTAATCCATGTCGACCCGCTACTAAGAAGTTGGCATGGTGATGTGCTGCAGTCACTGCTGCATTTGGTTGAACAGACACCAACGATGAAGGATGATATCGTGGATCTCCGACGTTCGCAGCTGCTGATGCACGCATAAGCAGGGCGTCTTGCTCCTCTTTCGATCGGGAATGCTCTTCTTTAATTCGTATTTCTGTATTCAGGTCACCAATAATTCGGTGAGGTGACCGATCTCGAGGTGTGGATGAAGATGAAGCAACTATTGCTTGTTTGTTGCTTTCATTAATGCGTTGTTGCTGTAGCATACGTTCACGTTCAACTTCTCGACGTTCTATTTCACGTCGCTCGCGCTCTTTGCGTTCACGTTCCCGTTCGCGTTCTCTTTCACGCTCCTGTTGTTCACGCTTTAGTTTGTCCTCTTTATCTTTACGCTCACGCTCTTCACGCTCCCTTCTTTGACGATCGCGCTCGCGCTGCTCTCGTTCACGTATCTCCCGCTCTCGATCTCGTTCTTCGGCTTCACGACGTGCATTATCAATAAGATCTGATTTTATAGGCCAAACAGTAGGTCCAGCGGTAGCTGCAGGATGATATGGCATTGAGCGTGGTACTGAACCAGTTCTGAAATAATATTTTAATTATGAAGTTTATATAATCAATATT